GGTCAGGAACCAGTCTTTGCTTTTTGATTGGGGCACAGAGTGGGCCGGAGGGCCAGTGTGCCCTCCAAGAATCAAGAATGGGGCAGAAAAATGGAAACCACTTTCATCAGCCAGGAGATTGTTATTGTTACATGCTGTCCAGTGGCTTCCAGTTTATGAAGTCCCTGATATGAGATGTTCCACGAAGAATCCGCTGTTGCTACCTCCCAGTCAGCTTTGCTGACTGAACTGGGATTTGAACCCAGGGCCCTCCTGGACCTTCATCTAACGCCTTACCCACTATGCCACATTGACTCTCGTTGAGAAGCCAGGGGACAAATTAGAGCACTGCTAACTGCTTCTACTTTCTTGGGCTCCATGATCACTGCAGATGGTGACAGCAGCCACGAAATTAAAAGACACCTGATTCTTGGGAGGAAAGTGATGACAAGCCTAGACAGCATCTTTAAAATCAGACATCACCTTGCCGACAAAGGTCTGCATAGTCAAAGCAATGGTTTTTCCAGTAGTGATGTATGGAAGTGAGAGCTGGATCATAAAGAAGGCTGACCGTTGAAGAATTGATGCTTTTGAATTGTGGTGCTGGAGAAGATTCTTAAGAGTCCCCTGGACTGCAAGGAGATCAAATCTCTGCATTCTGAAGGAAATCAACCCTGAGTGCTCACTGGAAGGACAGATTCTGAAGCTGAGGCTCCAATACTTTGGCTATCTCATGAGAAGAGAAGACTCCTTGGAAAAGACTTTGATGTTGGGAAAGTGTGAAGGCAAGAGGAGAAGGGGACGAAAGAGGACGAGATGGTTGAGCAGTGTCATTGAAGCTACCAAAATGAATTTGACCCAACTCTGGGAGGCAGTGGAAGTCAGGAGGGCCTGGCGTGCTCTGGTCCATGGGATCACGAAGAGTCGGATACAACTTAACAACTAAACAACAACAAAAGACATACAGATTCACCCAAGGCCATTTAGTAAGCATTGTAATTGAGCAGGTCTTTGAACCCAGATGTCCCTTATCCTAGCCTTGACACTGTACAATATTTATTCTCGGTGAATTTGCTCTGTTTCGCCATATCATAGGTCCATCTAATCAATATAATGAACTCTGATAGTGGTTTTCCAGCTCCTTGGCAGAATTTTTTTCAGCACGTTGTACAAATAGATCAGTTTATTGAAAGAAGTATGTATTGAATCTTCTGCAGGCAAAGCAAATTTGCTGTAATTTTCTGTAGCTTCACTCAGCTTTATTGATAACAATGACAATAATGTTATTCGTAGAACCCAACCTTAATTTTCCAACTTTGTCTTAAGGCATTTAACTGTACAGTGGTGCCCCGCTTAATGATTACCCCACTTGACAATGAATCCGCTTCACGACAATGTTTTTGCGATTGCAAAACGATGTTTTAATGGGCTTTTTTCGCTTCCCAACGATCGGTTCTCTGCTTCGGGAACCTATTCTTCACATTATGATGATCAAAACAGCTGATCGTCAAGTTTTCAAAATGGCCACCGGCTGCTCAAATGGCTCCCCGCTGTTTTTAGGAGGCATTTTTCGCTGCCCAGGCACCCGAAAATGGCTGCCCTATGGAGGATCTTCGCTGGACGAGCAGGTATTTCGCCCATGGAACGCATTGAACGGTTTTCAATGTGTTTCAATGGGCTTTTTTATTTTGCTTGACGAGGATTTCTCTCTACAGTGATTTCACTGGAACGGATTATCCTCGTCAAGCGAGGCACCACTGTAGTAACAACATCAAGTCCTTTTAGAGTTTTCTTTGACAAGTATACTGTCATTATTGAAAGAGGTTCTTTTTAGCATTTGTCCCAGCAGTTCTCCATTCCTCTTAGAGCAATAGTTCTCAGCCTTGGGTAACTCAGGTGTTCTTGGAATGCAAGTCACAGAAAGGCAGCAGTGCTACTGGTAAAGACTTCTAGGAACTGCAGTCAAAGAACACCTGGGTTACCCACAGTTGGGAACCATTGTCTTAAAGTATGACACAGGTGCTGTCTGTCACAAAATCTTGAATGTCATGCTTGCAGTAAGCAGTCATGGACATAGCCAAGAATATCAAGAGTCAGTACTAGGTGGGTTTAATTATGCACCCCAGCATAACTGTTGATAGAAATAGCTATATTTTTCCAAAGGTTGGGGAAGTGCTGTTTGTCCTGTGTAGATTCAGTTACAGGTTTTGGTTAATGGAAATAATATAGTTGAGTTAAGGGAAATCAAGCTCTCAGCAGACTGATTTTAAAGGTATGCAAAGATGCTATCTTTAATCAGATATCTTAGCCATTACATATATGGCTTATTCCTTTCTCTAAGCAATGTCTTTTCCACATTCTACATTTCCAATGTGTTTGGCTGCTGAGAGATAAAATTTTTAGATCTTTCTTATATCTCTAGCTGAGAAGCAGACTGTGTAATGTTCAACAGGTCTTCAGAAGATGCTTAAAATTTCCTTATTCCATGGTGATTGTATGATAGTGTACATAACTGTTGTATCTATGTCCTTACAGGTCTGGAGTTTCTGAAATAATTTTATATGTTCTGCTGTATTGTATTTTTTAATGTAATGCTAAAAAAGAAATTAATTACATCTCTTTCTAGATTCCTAGTAGAGAGAAAAATATGAATCTTACAGTTTTATCTAGTGCAATTTGCTTTTTTGCTGAATTCTGAATTTGCAAAATTATTTTATGGTGCAATAATGACGATTTCATTCACTGTGAAATTGATTAATTTTATTATTTCACTTGATTTAGCCCACAGTGTTTGGGTTTTGCTTTGTATATTCTATAGAATACTCCCCTTTTTGCAGGTGGGAGTCTATTGTCTATGGGTGCAGTAAGTACTGTGTTTACAGTTGCTTAGGAATCAGAGGTGAGACTATATAAATAAGCTATACATTGTGACATTTGTAAAACAACAGTAACAGAGCTCTGATTGACAACAATATACAGTATGTTTTATTGGATCTACATTATACTGATACTCAGATTAGTTTGGCAGTTTCTGTACCAGTATAGGCATGGCAGTGTTCTCAGTAATATCACTGATTCAGTAAGCTGTGTTTGGAATGAAGCTTATACATATGAGAATTTTCTTCAGAAAAATGGTATTCAGTAATCTTAGTTTGCTAGCAGTAATGGTATTCATAACTGGATAAAAGCCATTTTAGAAAGTTTTCAGTAAGGTTGTTTTCCAGATCTGATCTTTCAGATTGATGATTGTGAAATATGTTTGTAATTGTACAGATCCTCATTTTGTGGTCTACCAGCTCAAGGTAAAGATATTCACCTCCTCTTCAGGACCCACAAGACGTGAAGACAAGTACATGTACTTTGAATTCCCTCAGCCATTGCCCGTGTGTGGAGATATCAAGGTGGAATTCTTCCATAAACAAAACAAGATGTTGAAAAAGGTTTGCTTTTTAATCTGAGTAATGCTTGCTTGTTATGTTTTGCTAGTTCTAAATATGTTCACATTATGTGTCTTTTCTGCTACATTCTACTAAAATGATATGAATATGAGTCATATCAATGCATCAGGATTTTATGTGAAAGGGGGAAATACCATCTACAGTAATTACTTTGTGTGGTAACTTAAATGCTATGGGAAACCAATGCAGATGTGACTGTTCTGCCTTCTACACCCATGAATTTCTGAATCAGAGAGGCAAAACAGTTACATTCTGTGGTGTTAACCATTTTGTATTGCTGTATTGACAGAGGGATGGAGCACTTATATCTACAACATTCCTGAACATTGGCCATGCTACCTGATAACCTAGATGGCACCAGTTTCTCTTATTCTAGATTTAAACTGACCTTATAAAAGCATTCTTAATTTGTTTGACCTCAAGAAGGTAAAGTAGTTCTGTTCCATGACTTGTTTTTTTAAGTTGGACCTTTGCCCTTGCTTTATAGCTGAACAGGATAAATGCGTGAACCATTGAGGTTGCTGCCATTATGTCTTGATTGGATCATACCATCCATGTTATAACCCCTGTCATATATCTTTACTTTTTTACTTGGGTCCAGTTTCTGTCAGTTCATTGTGTTCTACTGTTGACTGAAATCCTGTTGCTTAGTGTAAACCAAGTTGTAACTTTCAGTCTGTTTCTTGCTGATAAACAAAGCTTCCCCAAAGCGCACACACCAAGCCAGCATGTGTTTATGTGTGCATGCACAACCACACCCATGAGAATCACAACAGGAATAGTTTGTTTATTAGGGAGTATTGGGCAAGACGTTACTGTTTGGTTTACACTGAGCAACAGGATTTTGAACACAAGAGTGAGAGATGGGATTGCAGGATTAAAGCCTAAAGGTAAGCGGTTGAATCCAGACATGTACTATTGGAATTCTGCTTGTGCAATTGAACTTTAGTGTCTCTTCTTTCTCCTCTGTTGCTGCATCGTGTCTGCCTTTCCCCAAAGCAACCACTGTAAGTTTAATGACCTTTTGGTATGAGTGGTATTCAGGAGCTGCAGCAACAGAAGGGTAATTAGCAGACATGCCCCTCAGTCATTCAGCAGGCCCTCTGGACTCTAGCTATAAGGGTATATGTTGCAATGTTATCTTCAGTGACTCTTTCTGTAAGTGTTTCTATGTGAGAACTTACTCAACAATCTTATATATAGGAAGCCAAACAAAATGGGTTGTGTCAAGGAAGACTGATGAAATGATGCCGGTTGTTCATCCTTGTTACTGAGAGTGTTTTGAGAGATAGCACTTAAATGTCTTCAGGACAGCCTCAGCCGATATATACCTAGATTTCTAGACTATACTTAATTGAACTTTTTAAATATATAGACAACTCTTGTCTGTGGTACTAAATCAAGAATGAGAAAAATGTGGCCCTTTTATTATTAAATATCAGTTTTAAAAATAGCTTTTTCAGTGGCTACACCAAGGCTGTGGAAGTACCTTCCAAGGAAAGTTAGACTACTGTTCTACATTTTCATTTGGAGAGGCCTTTGGCCACCAATTGACTAATGAGAAAGGGCCTTTCAATGGGGAGTTCTGTATTTATTTTGCATTGTGTTTCTTAGTGATATTTTTTAGACCATAGTAATTCAGTATTTGTTTTAATGTGGTAATGTATTAATAGTAGTCTGAAAGTTAATTTTATTGTAGTTTTTTTTGCCTAAAATTCCATGTTATAAGCAGCTGGGTCTTGTTAAAGAAAAATATATAATATAATATAATATAAAATCTCTAGCCATTTGGGTGAAGTGTTGGGGATAGCAGTCCTGTCAACATTTGGAGGGTTGCATTAGCTCCCTGCTTTCTTCACTAGGTGGAAGAGGCATGGATTTTAATTGTGTTGTTGGTTTTTTTGATTACTACAAAGTCTTTTTTAAAAAAAATTGTGATACTGTGGACAGGCTCCACTACAAGTTCAGTGAGATTTGTATTCTAGTAAGTTATACTCCTAATCTTAGTAACCTTTTATTTCTTATGTCAGAATGTCCCCTTCCACTGTAGTGTAACTTTGACTCCTTTTGGGTGAGCATGGGAAAATATGCATTGTCATTAAATACAATGAGGTGTGCAGGAATTGAAAATAACTCTTTGGAATAGAGACTACCATCTTTAATACTTTATATTTTAAAATCAACGATTCTGTTTTGTTTTTAAAGTAAAGCAAATCCAGTGACTAAATCTATGTCCTTTCAAGATTAGCCTTTTAATAGGATGTTCCCATTTAATGGTTCTGACATTAATAGCCCTGCTTAGGTCTTGAAAACTCAAGGCTTGTGATTCCTTTATTGAGTCACCTCATGTTTGCTCTTCTTTTCCTGTTGTCTTAACACTTGCCCAGGCTTACACTTCTCCCTTCAGCAATGCTGAGGTTAGGGGCACTGCCCCCCAAAAAACATAACTACAAAGCATAAACAGTTGATTCACATACAAAGCAAACAGTTGTGTTTCAGGGTTCTCTTCCATTGTGTTAACAATCCTTTCCATATGTTACCATGTGTAACAAGCATTAAACATCCTTATGATCTCTAGAGGCTGAATTAGAAATGTTTGTGGACAAGAAAAGCATTTCAACACCTTAGGTGTTGAACTCATGAGTATGAATTCTCAGTGGCGAGGCACAATGTTTGTTTTTAAAAATTTGGCGTATAACCAAAACTGTGCTGCTCAGACCTGTGCAACATGGTTTTAGCCATACAGTAATGAGAAATACCATAGGATGTATGATCTTGACCTTGGTCCCCATTAATATATCATTTTACTGAAGAAACTTTTCTAGTTCCTTTATAGCTGCCCTTCTGCAGCTTAGTCGTCTTCTGATTTATTAGCTGCAGTCTCCATCTTAATTGATGATTGTGCCGTGGTATAGAAAATTATTAATTTTGATTTATTCATTGTCTGTATTGAAGTTATGTAATCCTTCTCTAGTTATGATTTTATTCTCTTAAAGAATAAAATCCTGCTTTTGTAGGTTTTTTAACCTTCACCAGTAGTCAGTTCCAGTCCTTGCTACTTTCTGACAGTAATATTGTGCCATTTGTGTACCTTTAATTATTTATATTTCTTCTATGAATTTTTACTCTTTCAGTCTTTTGCTAGGTTGGCTGCAGCCTATATTTACAATAAATAAATTATAAGCTTCACATAATTCTATGAGTTGTTCTCCTGCCTTCTACGTCCAGTTTTGCAATAGTGTTTAGTTCTATTTTGTTCCCTCATTTTGCATTCCATTCACCCATCATTAAAAGTACATGCTGTTTGTCTGTGTGATCTATTTCCTCCTGGACATTTGCATTAAAGGAGGCTTGTCCAACCTGCAGCCCGAGGGCCGCATGCGGCCCAGGTTGGCTCATAATGCGGCCGAGTGCAATTTTTTATTTTAAAAGAAATTCCAAAGTTTCAAGTTACACTGCCGGCGCTTGCGGCCGGAATGCGGCTGGAGCATGTCACAATGGTAGGGGTGAGAGGGAAGGAAGGAAGGAGTGGGAGGGGAGGGGAAAGGGGGGCTGCGTGACTGCATTGTGCCATCCCCGTCAATAGGTGGACCCCCTCTCGGCCCCATAAAGCTACCGGAGTCGAAGCTGGCAGCCTCTGCTGTCTGAGATTGCAGCTGCCGGTAAGCACACTTGGAGCAGGGCTGCGAAGGATGGCTAGGGCTGCCCTCCCATGCGGCCCAAACCAAATGTACGTGCGGCCCAAACCAAATTTTCATCTTCTAATGTGGCCCAGGGAAGGTGAAAGGTTGGACACCCCTGCATTAAGGCTTTCATTTTCTTTTCCTTTAGCTTAAGCAGTTGAAGGTTAGACTGGAGTGATGGTTGTTGATAAACCTTCTGTGAAATCTGATTAATATTATTTAGTCATAGCTACTGGTGCTTTGCTTTTACACAGTTTTTCCTGACATAGTCACTTTCAAAATAAAGTACTATGTGATTATCTGACTGAGAATGGCCTATTCCAATGTAATTCAAGTATTACTATGTTTAAAGATTTTATTTCCTGTTATAGTTGACCTTACTTCAAATTCCATGTTCTACTTACAAGCATTGCGTGGAAGGACATCAATTATTATTTGTGAAGGAGCTGGTAATTTGTAGATTCTGGGGGAATTTGTAATACAGTTTTGGGGCATGATTTTTCTGCCTGAAGTTGTCTATTTGGTTTTGAATTCTTATGTTGCCCCTGCTCATAATGATTGGAGGGGAACATTCAAAGGGACTGTAATTTTGTCCACAAAATTTCCCTCATTTATAATTATACAACAATTATTCCTGACTCAAATTAACTGTGATTTTATGCTTTGTAACTTTTGCCTAAGTTTACAATGGTGCCTCGCTTAGCGATGTTAATTCGTTCCGCAAAAATCGCTGCAGAACAAAAATGTCGCTATGCGATATTAAAAAGCCCATATAAATGCATTGAAACCCCTTCAATGCATTCCTATGGGCTTAAAACTCACCGTTGAGCGAAGATTCTCCATAGCGCCACCATTTTCGGTTCCTCTAAAGCAAGGAATCCGTCCCTAAACACAGCGGGTGGCCATGTTTTTTCCCCAGCGGCCATTTTGAAACGGCCGATCAGCTGTGCGAAAATGGGGGCTTTGCGATGATTGCTTCCCTGCGATCATCGCAAAGCGAAAATACCCCATAGAGAACATTGCAAAGTGATCGCTTTTGCGATCGCAAAAATAGCATTGCTAAGCGATTTCGTCGCTAAATGGAGCGATCACTAAGCAAGGCACCACTGTATATTGAAAGGGAAAGGTAAAGGTTCCCCTTGAAAAATGTCCAGTCGTGTCCGACTCTAGGGGGCAGTGCTCATCCCCGTTTCCAAGCCGTAGAGCCAGCGTTTGCCCGTAGACAGTTTTCCGTGGTCACATGGCCAGTGCGACTAGACACGGAATGCTGTTGCCTTCCCACCATGGTGATATCTATTT